TACTTTCTAAACTCAGTTACAGTGTCAACACTGCACTATTTTAAGAATGTTCCTTGCAAAATGTTTATAACTTGTAACACATCTGTAGTTTAGGAAATGTCTTTTGCTTATGAAATAAATGATGAAAATAATACGTTTTTGAACTATTTCAGCATTTGTTGTCTGAGATGGAGTCATTAAAGCCGAAGGTCCAAGCTGTGCAGCTCTGCCAGAGTGCCCTCCGCATCCCTGAGGACGTGGTCACCAGCTTGCCGCTGTGCCACGCAGCTCTGTGCCTGCAGGAGGAGGCCAGCCGCTTGCAGCACACAGCTATCCAGCAGTACAACATCATGCAGGCAGGTGTAGCCGCCCCTCCGCTGGCAGAGCAATCGCGAATGAGTGCCTGCAGGAGGAGGCCAGCCGCTTGCAGCACACAGCTATCCAACAGTACAACATCATGCAGGCAGGTGTAGCCGCCCCTCCGCTGGCAGAGCAATCGCGAATGAGTCATGGGCTGCTTTTCTTAGCACTGTGTGGGCTCAGCCAGCAAAACACATCCAGAGTGTTGAATTGGACAGACCCTTGTGGTTATGTAAAATAAGGAGATTAAAATGCTATCATTTGGCTCGCCCACAAAAGCCTGGGGAAAGCTCTGTAAAAAATATCCTTTGGTGAAAACTATCTTCTAGTGATTTTTTTTTTAAATAAAGAACAACTGGCGAAGGTTAATTTTATAGGCAATCCTATATTTTTATCTCTTATTATTTACCTGAGAATCATCTAGAACCTGGTAATATGGGTTTCCTGTTATCATATGTTACAAAATTTTATTTTCATATTTCAGCTTGTTGAGGCATTACATGCATATTCCTGCCCAAGAAGGGCACCTAAGTTTTACTCTTAGTTTCTACTTAATGAGAGAAAATCATTTACAATGAAGAAATGATGCTATTGACCTTGTATCTCCTCTCAACTAATATTTACCTGCTTTATTCAAAAGCTGTATAAATACCCTCATTAAAATCACTAGTGGTCCATTTGGTCAACTGTCCTTGCTTCTTACATTATCTTGTAATTTGCTAGACAGTAAATTCCTGAGGCTAGAAGTCACATGTAATTCATAATTTTATCCCCTACTGCAGCACTGAGCCAAGTGTCTTACTTATACATTCAGTATTCTTTAGATGGAAAAATGAAATAATCCTGTTTCCCATACTGCTTGCCACCTTCTGACCATTATGTTCCATCTTCGGTACAACACGGGTAGGGAGGAGAGAGAGAAGCCTGACCACTTAACTATTTTGATTCCATCAATCATTTGGCTACAATATTTTAGAGAGAAAGTTCTGAAATATTTAAGTAAAGCTGAGAATTTGAACCATCTAGGAAATTCACTTATGATCTCTTTATCCCCTAGACACACAGGTAAAAATAGGAGTCCACAGTAGAGTTTGGCAGAATGCAGTACAGGATCGTTTATTCAGGTATTGACATAGAAAGAAAATCACGTGTTTGTCTGTTTTTGTTTTTAAGGAGGCCGTGGTGCAGTACGAACACTATGAGCAAGAAATGAAGCATCTCCAGCAGCTGATAGAAGGTGCTCACACCGAGATTGAGGATAAACCCGTGGCCACCAGTAATATCCAGGAGCTACAAGCCCAGATTTCTCGGCATGAGGTGAGACAGGAATATAGGCAGAGTTGGCTTCATTGGAATATATGGTTGGTTTCTAGTGAATGAAAGAGAAAGTTCTCCCCCTGTCCCGCATGCAACGTGTTCAGTTCTTGGGCAGCAACTCTGGCTGTCTTTGCATTTGGAGTGTGATTTTTGCTGATCCAGTAACGTGAGTCTTCCCCTTGATTTCACAACCTCTTTCCTTGTTGTTCATGACATATCTCCTCTGGGACCCACTGATTGTCTCCTGCACCCAAAATTCCCACAGTTAGTACACTAAAACATATTCTACTACCTGTTTTTAGAGACTAAGAAACACCGGAGTTCAAAGCTTTGCTGCACTAATCAACCTCTTAAAAAAAAGGAGTATTTCATATTAAAAAGAAAATCATTTGCTCTTTCAAATATTAGTCATTTCAGTTCCATTCACCAAAATCAGAGAATGGTCCATGTTGTTTACTTTGCTAATTTTCAGATTGGACCTGTTAGCATTTCCTCTATTTTCAAACATACCTGCTTCCTTGATCCTTTGGCATAATGATGACTTTAGAACTTGGACATTCCTGTGCAGACCTAGTCTATAGCACATAAATGATTGAGCTCATTGACACTTAGCAGTGAATTTCTTTTCCAGTCCTGTCAATTCCATATAGGTCAAGTTCACTCTTTCCCTTGGGGGTTGGTTTATATCACCATAAATTATGGTAAGCTACTGGGCGGGAGGTGTATTATTTCTCTGTGCCAAGGATAGTCATTTAGTTTATTGTTTCATCTGCTGTCTTTTAACTTTGTCATGAGAACAACAAACTATTTTTCCAAACCAAATATCATAGTGAGGTTCTCAGAGGATTCAAGTGTTGTCTTTTAAGAATGGAAAACCTGGACCAGCCCCGTGGCGCACTCAGGAGAGTGCAGCACTTGGGAGCACAGCGGCACTTCCACCACGGGTTCGGATCCTATATGGGGATGGCCAGTGCAGGCGACACCAAGCCAAGGGTTGCGATCCCCTTACCGGTCACAAGAAAGACAAAAAAAGAAAACCTAACTACCTCCTTTTCCAAATGCAGTTTTTTAATTTCTTGACAGATGCAATACGCCAATCACTTGCATTTATGTATGATTAACAGAGTAATTTAAATATCCCACCTACATTTAATCCTACAACTGTAGACATCATCTGTGTTAACTATTTCTCTTACAAATTGGTTAAATGAAAATATTCTGGACAATTTTTTTTTTTTTTTGGTGGCTGGCCAGTACAAGGATCTGAACCCTTGACCTTGGTGTTATAACACTTCACTCTAACCAACTGACCTAACTAGCCAGCCCTGTTGTGCAAATTTTTGAAATCATCCTTATATAATGCATACATTAGACTATATATTACATTATTTATTTTGAAACTACTTTTAATGCCATATCATAAAATCCAGAATTTTGTTGTAACAACTCCTCTAACATGGTACAGAAAATATTTTAAAAATCTTGTCTGGGGGATGGCCGATTAGCTCAGACAGTTGGAGTGCAGCCTTATAACACCAAGGTCACAAGTTCGGGTGCCTCTACCAGCTAGCCACACACACAAAAAATCTTGTCTGAAATAACAATAATCCTTATTACTAAAGTTTTTTGTTTTATATTTCTTAAAATAACTTACAATGTTTTACATTATTTTTTATAACAACCTTGTGAGGTATGAATTTTTTTTCTATCATCTACATTTTACTAAAAAAACTGACTTTTTAAAGTGACTTTCTGAGCTCCCAAATCTTGTAACTGATTGCAGCTGAAATCAAACTCATTTTTTTTGGCTCCAAATTCTGTGATTTTTCCCACTGTAGCAGAAACTATTTGGGCTATTCCATTACTCAAAAGAGAAGAATGCAGGCCCAGGAAAATAGACTTGCCCAGGGTCACGGAGCGAACTCTCAGCACGGTCAGCGCTAGACCTGGTCTTCCTGGATCCTAGTTCAGTGATTTGTTCATTTTGTCACATTTTCTCTTCACAGTTCCAAACAGCAATGTTGACATTTGTTAGTTTTCTCATGTGATTTAGAACACATTTTCCTGTAAATAATGATGTCATCCTGAGAGGTCCATTGCATGTATAAAACAAACACAGGAAGGAAAGTGCTGAGTGGAGAGAAAGCCTGATTAATGACAACATAAAAATTTGGAAGAGTCCTTTTTCCTGCCTAGGTCCATTGCATGTATAAAACAAACACAGGAAGGAAAGTGCCGAGTGGAGAGAAAGCCTGATTAATGACAACATAAAAATTTGGAAGAGTCCTTTTTCCTGCCTGTATCTTCTGTCAGCTTTCAATGGAATTTTAATCTTAAGATGAATCTGGCTCTCATACTGATCATTTTAATTCATAAAATTAACTGATAAATTTATTCATTTCTAATAAATTCACATTTTATTTTCTGTAATTTTTCAAAGGTTGCATTTAATTTGAAAAAAATAGCCTGCCACTTTTAAATCATAGGAGTGAATACTCAGACCCCTTTGCTTCCCACCTGGCACAGAGACCTGCTCCTGGGTACAGAAGGCTGCCCAGAGGCCTGCTTTCTTCCAGCGGCCATGGTATTTGAAATTCCCACCTTTATAATCATTTTCAGAAATACTCTGTGAATATTTTTAAAATTTATATGTGTATATATATATATACTTCCTGAAGAACGAGTAACACATTAATCCATTAGTGCTCCATTTTATTTTAGTGGATTTGATCAGAGCGTGAATAACCAATCCACAAAGGCAATGAGATATAAGCAGGTTTAGACTTACAGAGAAAGTTCTAGAGTACTGTTTTTAAAATGCATTGGAGTGACATAGGCTAATGATGAAATGCAGATTCTCATACAGCTAGTAAATCAAAATCTTTGGAAGTAGTGACCAGAACTGGATTTTTAATGAACAACCCCAATGAGTTTTACACACAATAAAGTTGAGAATTCCAGCTTAGGGAATGGGCACACCATTGTAGAGAACTGCAGTAGGGAGCTGTGACCGGCCATGAGGGCACAAAAGGTGGAAGAGCTAGGACTAACTGTCCGCTTCACAAACGTTCCTCAGACTTATCCCTGGGGCAAGCCTTTGTAAGAAAGCTTAGTGTATTAGTCTGTTTCTGTCGCTTATATCAGAAATACCTGAAACTGGGTAATTTGTAAAGAAACGATATTTATTGCTAACAGTTTTGGTGGCTGGAAAGTCCAAAGTCCAGGAAACACATCTAACCATCTGGTAAATTTCAGATGCTGTAGGCATTTTAAAGAAAGTTTCAGTTCTTACTGTTAGGGCAGTTCATGATTCCACAGGGCGCAGCTCTCAGAAGCCATTCACCTGCATCCCCCTGCCTTGTCCCCACTGCGGCTCCCGCATTCTCCGTGCAGGCTGCGGGCTGCAGGCTGCGGTCTGGCTCTGCGGGGAGATGCAGGCTGACTCGGCGGCTGCACCGTCCACATCCTGCCTGCCTCGGGGCGCCGCCGCCCGCTCAGCTCTGCGCTCTCATTGGCCGCCCTGCAGGAAGATGAACGCCGCCGCTTCTGTTTCCTTTTGATGCTGCTGTGACACACGGAGGGGGGGCATGTTTCCTCAGGAGCTGGCTCAGAAAATCAAGGGCTACCAGGAGCAGATCGCCTCTTTGAACTCCAAGTGCAAGATGCTGACGATGAAAGCCAAGCACGCCACCATGCTGCTGACGGTGACCGAGGTCGAGGGGCTGGCGGAAGGGACCGAGGACCTGGATGGGGAGCTCCTCCCCGCGCCTTCGGCCCACCCCTCCGTGGTCATGGTAAGGATCGCCAGTCTCCGCCGCTCTGCGCTGCTCGCCGGAGCCCGGCCTTCCCTCACCTGGGCTTGCTTTGGGGATCGGCCTGAGATCTTGTAGATTTGACTCGAGAAACAGCTTCCTTAACTCTCTCTGACTACATCTGAGCCGGGGCCAGTCTCTGACAAAGTAAACACTAACAGTTGAGACGAAACTATTTGCTTGAGACCGCTGAATTGCTTAACATGCTGAAAGTCTGCCCTGCATTCGTTTATAATGTAGCAATAGCACTGAGAGGCTGAGCCTTCAAACAAATCCCTCTGCAGTGTTCTAGTTGTCTGGGGGATGGTAGAATCATGGTACATATACTCATATTTAGTTGTGTTTTTCAAGCTGACCAGATATATGCATGTTGTATAAATGTTTAATAAAAATTAGATGAAAAGCTATTATTAGAAAAATAAGAAAATAGAAGAAAAAACAAAGTTTAGCTTTGGATTAAAATGAATAAACTTTATTAAGTTTTATTGTGTATCTTTTTTTCCTATACACTTTGCATCTAAAGTGCATTGAGCATTTTGGTATCTACAGCGTTTGCCAGAGCTGTATATTTTCCCTCATATGTGCTGTGCCTCTATTGGCAATATATTACTTTGGGTGCACTTATCTCCCTAGGATATTCAAAACTTGAGATGTTCACCAAAGACCCAGCTTTATTTTGTAGAACCTTTCCCCATTTGTATAATTCTTGATTTTTCTAGTTATTTGTAAAGACAACACTCAAAAAAATTGAAGTATTTAATCAAAAACAAAACTCTTAAATGTGATATGCACCCTCCTCCCCGATTATTTTGCAAATGGTCCCTAGCACCATATTCACTTGAAGACAAATCTTTTAAATACTAACACAGAATTAATATGTAAACTGGGTCTCAGTAATTCTAACTTTTGTTATGTAATTATCTTTGTTTTGACATGTGCCTAACCAGGTCTTTTGATAACACAGCTAACTGATTTTCATGTCCTTTGGGCTACACTTTATGTGGCAGATGACTGCAGGTCGCTGTCACACTTTGCTGTCACCTGTCACTGAGGAGTCTGGGGAGGAGGGAACCAACAGTGAGATTTCCTCTCCACCTGCCTGTCGCTCCCCTTCACCTGTGGCTAATACAGATGCTTCTGTTAATCAGGTACCTCCCACTTGGTGTTCCTCTAGCAATAATGTTCCGGGAGGATGCAGGACTCCATTCTCTGTTCTCATTAGACTGTGGGTGTGACTATTAGACTTCGTTGCATTTGGTTTTAGAAACACACCATTAGACACAAACTGTGATTGTCATGTGAGATCTCTGGCTCAGTATGTCACCTCCTCTAATGAGCTACTGACACTGAGATGAGCAAAAATTAGGCCATGAAAATTACGGCCCAAGAAGGCCCTGTTTGAAGGTTTGATAGCTGTAGTTACTAACAGTCACCTGGGATGGGGCTCTGCATCCTAACAGAAAATGAAAGGTCTGTGCCACTGTTGTAAAATAACACGATCCTATGGCTATGTTAACATTCATTGAACATAGTGCTGACATTTACCAGCTCAGATTTTGAAGAAGGAAAACTTCTATTCATTATATCATACTTTTTCTTTCTTTACTAATTATGGACCAGTTTAAGGGATGTCAGCCAATATGTATATTGGATTGCCTACTAGATTTGAGTTTTCTTACTTACCTTTTAATAATCTTATGTTTTATTTCCTATGATATGGGGATAATACCTTTTTGTTATGAGATACCTTTTAGAATACATGATATTAAATACAGATTACACTGAATTAATGTCAAAAAGTTTTCATGAGAAATATTGAATATAAATCAAAAAGATGCTTTTACAAAAGACAAAAACTTTTTATGCATGTTAAGTAATACTTCATTATGGTTTTTAGCCAAAGCAACTAAAAATTTTTTTAATTACATTGTATGAAATTATGTAAGTGTTCCAAAAAGTTGAGATGTATTATCAAGGAAGAAGCATTAAACAGAGCAAATGTGTTTTATGAGCTATATTATAAATCAAGTATATTACTCTTATTTTAAAGCAGAAGCATTCAAAATAGGAAAAAGGAATATAAAAGTGATGAAACCTTTAGATAATACAGTTATACAGTTCTCTTGGTAAAAATCAGTGTAGCTCTAGGGAATTTATCAACTCATCCATTCATCAAATACATTCTGAGCATGTGCTTGGCACAAAGGCTTGTGCTGGGCCCTGGGATGTAACCAGGAACGAGGCAGCTGTGGTCCTGCCTGCAAGAACCTTACAATCGAGGGAAAGGTAGACATGGGACAAATAATAACAAAAGTGATAGGAGGGAATTAAAAACAACAACAAAAAAAGAGAAGTTCAGGGTGCTCTGGGGGATTTGGGAGACTGTTCCCCAAATTCTGATATAAAAATATGTTATTACTCATTCTGTGGCAATATGTTCTTCCTTGTGGCCACAGATGTTATTAGAATCAGAGAAATTGGTCTATAGTCAGCTGACTATTGTATAGAAAAAAATTGTGTAATATGCTTAATGTTTTCAAATAGAACAATAAATACTCATTTTGAAACTAGCACTATGGAAAAAATACACCTTTTCTCTCCATGCTGCTTCTTGTAAAGTGTCTTTCAATGTGCACATGAAAGTGCCCCATAAATGATAAGACATGCAAACATTTTTGTTATTATTACTTGGCATCAACCATAAAGCTTACCTTCTTGTAAAGTGTCTTTCAATGTGCACATGAAAGTGCCTCATAAATGATAAGACATGCAAACATTTTTGTTATTATTACTTGGCATCAACCATAAAGCTTAATCAAATCCTGAAATCGAGTGAAATTATCCTTTGTTTTAATCTTGCTTTGAGACCTCTTCCCCAGTAACAGGAAAACATTAATTAAATTGCATTATTAATCTAACATACTTGTATGTGATGCTGCAAATTAGGAGAAAATGTCTTTATTTAGTTTGTCAGTTAGCTTTACTCAGGAAGCTGTTAAAAAGCAAACAGATTATGTTTGTGTTGCTGAAACAAATCAATCCCATCATGACTGCCATGTGTTCTTCTCGTACAGTAATATGTTAGAGGACAGTGAAAAATTACAACAATGTGACCAGTAATGCATTGGATTTACAAAATCATCTCTTGAAACTGAGCAAGCCATTTAGAGCCCCTTAACTTCTAGTTTTCAAGTTCAAAATCCTGCACAGGATGTGCACAGCTGTTTCAAGGAGTAGCCAAATATAACTGCTTTATGAAATCACAGCTGTTAAAAAAAGGTTTTGTGCTTGCTGTATCTGTAAGTAGATCTCCATTATACAAGGAACGGATCCCACTCACAGTCAGTGTGTTCTATCTCTGACAGTAGCTATTAGCTAAAATGTAGCAACAATTTAGCTTACTTTAGGGTAGAAATAATGAGGCATCCCCTGCATTTGCTGCAAGCTTCTTAATTCCCCTTACGAACAAGCCAAGACTTAGTTCCATGGAAGAGCTAAGAGAAGTATAGGTTTGAGAAGAGCAATCTTGTAATCGGGAAATCACTGGCCTCCTAGTCAAAAACCTCACACTGGATCCTGCTCTTCCTCCCTAAGCTGAGTGTACCTGGGAAGTCCCTCAACCCCCTCATTTGTAAGTGAGAAGTGACACTACTTAATTTGTGCTGGCCAGTTTGCTTAGTTGGTTATAACACCAAGGTCCAGGGTTCGATCCCTGTACCAGCCAGCCAACAAAAAGAAAAACAAAACAATACTACTTAATTCACAAAATTGTGAAAATTAAATATGATGTTAATCATTAAACTACATTTTAAAGTGGAAAATGCTGATCAAATAGTAGCTACAATTGTTAAAATTTATTTCTTTAGGAATCTACTGGGTAATAACTCTCATAACTTGGGCACCTAAGCAACAAGAGACATATTTCTAAAGGTGATTCCTCACTACAGCAAGTGTTGACTTTATTTAGTAGTTACTTAGAGTACTGATTGATTTATTTTATTTAATTTTCGTAGTCCTCAAATAGATCCAAATTATTCATTTATAAAAGGCGATATATTTTCAAATCTTTTTTAGAAACCAAGAGTTGCCATTTCTGTCTATAGGCATGAGCTACACACACACACACATATACACACAGAACCAGAAAAACAATCTTTTTTTGTAACAAATTTATTTTATTCTTTTTGGGGTCTTCTTTATTTATAATAGGGTATTTAATTTAAAATGTTTACAACATTCGAAGCCACTTTTTGCTTTTTTTGTGGACAGTAACAGCATTCCCTCCACCTATATGAAATAATAGAGTTTACAAAAGTGCTTTCATAGCAGGATTCATCATGAACATATATGCCTGCCTGCTGTTTGCCAAACTTTGTACAGCGTGCTCAGGATGAAAGACTGAAAGCACTGTCCCAGTCTTTAAGGAGCTCACAGTTTCTGTGTGAGAACAGGCAAATGCTTACAATGGAGTGTGGCAAGCGGTGTGACAGAGGGCAGCGCAGAGTGTCATGGGAGGACAGAGAGCGAGCCCCTAAACCAGGCTGGGGTTCAGGCATAGGTCAAGGATGGCCCTGTCGTGTTAAGGGAGGACTATAGGTTAGGCAGTTGGAGTGCACTAGGATCGTGTGAAATGAAGTTTTCAGGCAGAAGGAACCATACGTGGGAAGCTGTGGAGGCAGGAAGAAAAAGGCCCATCAAGGCAACTGCATATAGTTTCAGTGTAATTGGAGAGACATAGGTTTGGAGGAAGAGGAGGGGGAGGAAATGAGACTTGGAAGAATGCAGGAACCACATTATGAGGGAACTTGAATGCCACACAGAAGAATTTGAAAGTCATCCAGAAGCTAATAGTTAACCATTGAGGGAATTTAGCACACACCATGCATATGTACACACACATGCACACACACACAAGTAAAGTTGGCTTGAGTCATTTTGGGGGTTTTCTAAGTGGGTGAAGCAAAGGTTAAAGGGACAAGGGAAACAAGAATGTGGGCAAGAAAGGGGTTTAAGTAACTTTGGACATAGCTGGAAGTACCTGTGGGGAGGGCAGTTCTGTAATGACAGTATTCAAGGGTGCAGAGGACTGAAGTTGAGTAGAAGTGAGTGAGGATCAGTGGATTTGAGCCTATCGAGGTAATCCACCCAAGATGGTGACAGGGTTAGGAGTGAAGAGGAACCAGTCCCATGTTCCAATGTCATCAATAAATGCTGGGGACTTATCTGGAAGCCTCAGCAACAACAACAACAAAAATGGGTGGAAGGTGTCATAGTCACTGAAATGTTACTTCATTTGATGCTCTAAACCATCCAGTGTTGTAGCGATGAGGGACAAGATGTGCACAAGGTATAAGTGACTGGCTGCAATCATATAGCTACTTAGGAGGAGAATTTCAACTATTTCAGGTGTTCTGACTCTAGTCTGAACTCATTCTGCTGCATGCTCCTTCTCCTGCCCTCTTACAGACCCTCCAAACCACCAGGCTGTTTTCTTGGTTTCTCAGATGACTGGGGCCTTCTTCAGTACTTTTTCCCAATACATGATTTTCAATAAGGCTCAGGTAGTTTAAGTGGACATAATTATCTTCAACAGTATGACTGCAAAAACAGAGAACTTGACGATAGCAATTCACAGAATATAAACATGATTCCGCCAATTCAATTTCTATTGAGATGCATATAAATAGTCATAGAAACAACTGAAAACACAACAACTATATGTCTTGATCTAATAAATTTCATTATCATTACTAACTCAATATGTAATGTTACTTATAACCCAAGAGAGTAAAAAAAATTTTAAAGGTGATTGATTTCTTGTGTACTTCCAGGAAATACTTAGAAGAAAATCTTTTTGTTTCTTAGAGTAGTTTTAACTTCCTTATTACATTTTCCCTTATTTGCTATCAAAATAGTTGAATTAATATCTGTAAATAATGAACTCACAAATCGTGGAGATCTGACCACATTTGAAAAATTGCTTTCTACAGATTTAATTTTATTTAAATCAAGTACTTTTAAAAATTATTCAGAACTTTAATCAATACATTAAACAACATTTTAGGAACTAGGTCATTTAGCTTCTCTTCTTTTGCTATACTAGCTAATCAGTCATTAAATACCTGTGTACCACTTAAATACAAAGGATTTTATCAAATTTTTATCAAATATAAAATAAGAATGAATTTTGGCAACTTGAAATATTGGTAACATTGTTTTTTTCTATATAAAACAAAATTCTAAAGCAATTGTAATGTGCTTTGATATGATCTTTAAATTTTTTTTATCCCAAGAATTTACTAACTTTAGTTAGTAGTGCCCAGTGAAAGTGGTAAATCATAGGCCTTTCCTCCCCATGGCAAATAGTCCCCAGAGCGTGTTAATCTAGACTTTGTCTTCCTTCTGAATCTGATGCTGCGCTTCCACTCGCAGGACATTGCATATTACCAAGCCTTGTCTGCTGAGAGGTTGCAGTCAGATGCAGCAAAGGTCCACCCCAGCATGTCAACAGTTCAGGAGTTCTATGAACCAGGACTGGAGCCATCTGCTACTGCCAAACTGGGTGATTTGCAGCGTTCTTGGGAAACCTTAAAGAACGTGGTAAGTCTTTAAGATGTGAAATTGTTTAAGCCCACCAGACACCCCTGACCTTAGCAATTGTCTTATGAAATACATGCAGAAAGTTTACACATCCAGTACACAGTTGAATACCTTCTGTTGGGCCACAGAGGTAAAACAGTGAGGAAATAAATGTTGTAATCTGGAAGATAAGGGGCAAGAAAACTTTGGTAATATCCCTTTTCTTGTTTAGATCAGTGAAAAGCAACGCACACTCTATGAAGCTTTGGAACGCCAGCAAAAGTACCAGGACTCCCTTCAGTCCATCTCTACAAAAATGGAGGCCATCGAGATGAAACTCAATGAGAGTCTTGAGTCCGACAGGAGCCCGGAAAGCCAGATGGCTGAACATCAGGTAAAAATAGCAATGACTTCAGTTTCCTGTATGATTAAATGGGTGCGTTCTTGTGACTGGTTGGCCTGTCAGGGATACATTTGGGGACGGCAGGCTGACTTTTTTTTTTTTTTTTTACTATATCAGTTTTTACACAGTAAACAAAATTCCAAAGGGTGACTGTTTCTACCACTGCTTCAGGGAGGGACCTAAGAAGGAAAAAAAGAAACTCAGACCTTGAATCTAATTAAAGTTACACGCATTGATGTTGCTTTTTTACTCTTATTATACAAAGTGTACTTCCTCACAATTGCCAGATTATTTTGATTTTGTTGTGAGTCATTGCTGTAAGAATAGAAGGTAACGCAGATCTGCCTTCTGTGGGTATTATTGTTTTAAGAAACTTAGCCAGTGTATGCCCAGCACCTCCCCATTGTCGCTTATGGGAATAAGTCTCACACTTCAGTGGGCAAAGAAGCAGTTGAACGTTAAGGGATTCTAGGTTCCAGTCTTGCAAATGTCCCTGATTTGAATCATTTGTTAAAAGGTTATATGAACAAGGCAAACCTTCAGCTTTACATGAAAAACAAAGATGATTATATTAATCTGACTCAGAAAGGTAATGTTAAAAACACATCAATTTAAAATGCGCTCTAAGAAAGATGCATATGTTAAAATCTGGTTAATACTTTAGCAATACTATCAGGTGTGCCTGACGGTATGACACACAGTCTCATTTATATGATATAACTGGGGCATGTATTCACCTATGTATTCAGTCACCACGATACGGAGAAATACTGTCTATCCCTATCCAGGACCTAGGAACATGTGACAGCCCTATTTAAGGTAGAGGAAAAGAAAAATATTTTTAGATGTTAATTAAGAGCTATAATAGCATGGTGTGATAAGTGTTTCTGTCAAGGACAGGGAAATTTATCAGCTTCAAGAGTGAACTCTGTACTTTATGTTTCCTCTACTTTATAGCTGTCTAGTTTGGAAGCCAGGAAAACCTTAGAATACATTGCTGTTCATATGTGTAGTCAGATACAACTGCATTTTTTTGCAATATAAGCCCTTTCAGTAAAACACAAAAATGATAACATTTCATCTAGAGACAGCATATTGAGAAATAGTGGTTTCAGTTTTTTGACATTCTTGTGACTTCTTAAGATAGAGATCAACATGCGTAGCATTCATTTTTAGGCCTTATTTTGGTAAAACTAGAGTGTGCTATAAAAGTATGGAATTGAAATTAACTGTTGTTTGCTTAGTCCATACCCATCATGAGGACACGCAGGGACTCCTGTGACTGTGACGATGCTATTTTCCTCTGAGCTCCACCCATTTTCTTAATAGACTTCTAACTTCCCAAGCCCCTCTCCTTTCCAGAGGGGCCTTGGGGTCTCACAGTCCTCTTTACCTGATGCTCCCATTTTCTAATTGCCAACAGCCACCTCATTTCCATCTGCAGGGATTGTCCCCATTGCCCCAGCATGCTTCTTGGGGTTCCTTGCTTGTCTTCTGTCTTGCACTTTTGTCTGCCCTGCTGTCCCTGCACCTGTGCTTCTCGGTACCTGGAGGAGGGAGGGTGTCCCTCTATTCCATTACTCCTCCTCAGGCCAACTTCGATGGGCTGTTCTTTAAAAGGCCACTTCCTTGGAGCTTCCAAAAGGAATAGAGCATAAATTATTCAACAGCTGGAATAGAGTGAATTTGAGGGCCATACACTCAGATTCTCAGAAGCTAGTGATCCAGGAGAAGGCTTAACTAGTTTGACTCCTTTTTTCTACCTTCAGGTCGTCTCCGCCTTTGTTCAAGGCACATAAGTTTTGTGGCCAAGGTGACTGAGCACAGGTCTCAAAAGACCCTTCACTAGTCCTCACAGGATTTAGGAAGTGCAGGAAAACAGGATGCTGGGGACCTGCCCTTACATTCCAGAGTTTCTCACTGAAAATGCAAATTAGCTCCCAATCAGCACCACTGCCCTCCCTCTCGTCATGAGTGTAAAAACACACACAAACTGAATGCAGAGCAAAATTTTTTCAAGGGATTAAGTGGAAAAAACCCAAAATTGCACATGAATGCTCAGCGTGCAATTAGAAGTGAAGCTGTAACTTTTTTGGTAATTAAGGACAGCCATGGGACTTTTCTTCTTTACTGTGTTGGAAGGGGCAGTTTTAACCATCATAACAGTGAGGAGATGTAGCTAATTCAATGATTACCAGTCATTGGGTCTTAACAATTATATTAATGCTCTAATGAAAAGGAGAGAAAATATAAATAATATATAATGCAATGTCATTTCTCATATCATCACAAATCTAACATTTTCCATCTGACCTACTTTTGCTAGCTTTTGCTGTCCGTGCCTAAGTTCCACAAATACTAGGACAGAGCTGCCCACATGCAAAGCTAATGGTAGCATCATATTTAAATTTGTTCTTAGCTTCTGGCATGGTACTTAAAAAATTCCAAGCACTATTGTAGAATTACTGTTTCAATTCCAACTGAATGGGGGTGAGAAAGTCCAGTATGCTTTTTATATTTCCTAGGAATTACTAGAAATACTTCAATTGTTATTTCTTTGCCACCACTCTCTTGGAAGTATTAGTGTTTCTTTAAAAACTAACCTAATTCCTGCATTTTCCCCCTAAATACGAGTCTAAATCTACTGAATTGGGTGGACTGCTGGGCATTTCCTGTTATCCTCTCTAAATTGTACAGCAGATTCAATTTTCAGACTTTTATGCATTTCATAAGCTGACTTATGGCTGTTCTTAGTGTTAAGCTCTCTGTGATCAGGACTTTCCTTGTCACAGGGCATCTGATGCTTTTTGGAAATATGTTGTCTTTGCCACACTAAGCTCTGTGATGTATAGTAGGCAGCATTGTGAGATTATTTTGTTCTTGTTTTATATTATATAACAACTCAAATAGAGTGTGAAGAAAACTGTGTTCATATAGACAGTTCTGACAGTCAAAACAAAATTCATGTTTTCCTTTGGTGTTGAAGCAAACATGAGCTCTTTGTTTTGCCCTTACTTTTAAAAAAGTTTAGTATTTTAGAGAAGCTCAAGGTACTTCTCTAAACCATGTAAGTGTCATACACATGCCCTCCTTGTAATCACAAGTTAGAAACCCAAAAAGATGTGCGTTTCATCTTCCTCTCCTTATTTTTGAATCAGATATTGTGGGGGAGCTGTTGGCTCCCAGCTCTTGTGCTCAGAGTTACAAAAGAGAAGACAAATTTAAATGCTGGATCTTTTTTCTTTTTCTTTATTATTGAAATTGAAGTGAAATTCACATAGCATAAAATTAACCATTTTAAAGTATGTTATTTAGTGGCATTTGGTACATTCACAATGTCATACAACCACCACCTCTATCTGGTTCCAGAACATTTTCATAACCCCAGAAAAAAACCTCAGAACCATTGAGCTTGGCTGCTGGATCTTGAAATTAGAAACTCTAGTTACCTTCCAAAAATATCCGCTCTCCCTTAAGAGGAAACTGAAGCATGGATAGAGAGGCCTGCCTCTAGCAGGATGAAAACTAACTAGCACTTTGTACAGAAAACAGAAAGGAGGTTGTGGGCTAGAGTGGTGGGAGGTTGATAAAATGAGATCGAGCCAGGACTTTGGGGAGACACAGAGTTTAAAAATTTGGAATAGCAACAGGAGTGGGTAGGAGGCACTATAAATGTAATGTGTGTAGAAAAACACAGAGGATAGGGTGAGAGTGAATATGGTGTGAACTCATGAAGAGTCTGTTCTTGCTTATATGGAAGGATCAGTGCAAAAAGGACATAACGAGGTCAGAATAATTATGGCGAAAGCTTTACAGTCAGACCAAATAATATGGGTGTTATACTTTTAGCATTCAGGTACCAAAAATGACTATAAAATAGTAGAAAATAACTTGCTGGGTGAAAAATAGTTTGAATGTATAATGAATAGTACCAGTTTGTAAATTCAATGCAATCACATTAAAAAATCCCAGCAAGTATTTTTTTTTTTTCCTTTTTGTCTTTTTTTGTGACCGGCAATGGATCGCAACCCTCAGTGTTGCACCCGTACCGGACTGGGACCGGCAACGGGATCGCAACCCTCGGTGTTGCTCCCGCACCTCACTCAGCCAGTGAGCGGGAACCAGTCTGCAGGAAAGGGTTCTCTGAAGATGTGACAATTAACCCAAGGTGCAAAGGATGGAGAGAGCCATGACACTTCCAGCCTGAGAATAGAGAGAGCTGGGGCCTTGGAGTAACTGAGGAAGGCAGCGATGTAGAGAGCAAGAAAGGAGCGTGGTACAAGAGACAGGAAGGCTGGGAACATACAAATATGGAACAAAGTCTGGATTTTGTTTTACAGGCAAGGTACCATTAAATATTTTAAAGCAGGGGAATGACAGGATCTGATTTACATTTCTAAAAAGTCACTGTAATTGCTTCCTAAGGTAATGGATTGGAGAGACAAGAATGTCAGCGGGTAGACCCATCAGTAGATGTTACAGCAATTCAAACAAGAGAGGAAATTGACTTCGGCTTTGGGCGGGGGACAGTGGAGATATGCAGATATGTGAGATACACTTTGGAGGTAAAAGCAGTAGGATTCAGCCATGGATTGGATGTAGTGAGTAAAGGAGAGGCAGGTGTGGGGAATGACTCCTGATCTCCAGCTTGAGCCGTGAGGAGAAGGGAGGTGGAGGGTGGGGAGGAGGCAGGTTTATACTGAATAGATGGAAACGCCCATGAACTGGGGGAGTTGAGTACACAGGCCTGAAATTTAGGACAGGGGTCTGGCTTAGTTAGGGACCTTTGCTGAGCACCTTTGGAAGTGCTCAGCATTAGGAAGCATTTGTGGCTTTGGAAATGATGACCTCACCTGGAGAGACTGTGAAGAGAGAAATGAGGGCCTGGAAATCGGCCCTGAGAAACTTCCCATTTGGGATTGGATAGACAAGGAGAAAAATGAGGAGGGTGTCATGGTGTAGAAACAGGTTACAGATTTTCTCCCGTCTTGTATAATGTGAAAGTGATGCATTTGATTTCAGCATAGAATGGGAGACTCTTGGACGTTGTTGATTATACTCCCCTCTCATTACAGATGAGCCTGTTGAATACCAGAAGGGTTAGTTAACTTTAGTAGCAGCAGGGCGGAGGTCAACAGGGCTTGGAAATGTTCTGTTTCTTGATCTGGGTGGCAGCTGCAGGGAATGTGCAGTTTGTGAAAATTCACAGAGCTGCACATTTGTAGTCTGTGCACTTTTCTAGGTGTATACAATAAGGTCAATATGATGGTTTATTTTAAAAAATCAATTGGACTTGACACACGATTAAGAGAAGGTTTTGTTGTTGTTACGTGGGTTTTTGGTATTTGTTGACAGTCCACTGAGAAAGCTTATAGTGAAGCCCATTGTCCTAAGGAAAAGATAGGAATTATGCAAATAAGAGCACATTGGAAACTGAAATATTAGTGAATATAAAGCCCGTGTTAATTAAAGTCATGGTTGCATCTCTAGTGGTAGTGCCTGTTTTTCCAACACACCATTCAAATCCTAAATAAGAATTTCTCCTGTGAAGATTCCAGCTAAAGAGCAAGTCATAAAATACCAAAAATGAAAAATAAAAACCATGTATAATTGTGATGGATGTTAAACAGAAAAACAGGGTACTATTGAGGGAAAAAATGATCAAGATTTTCTCTAGATTAGGTGGTCAGGAAAGGGTTCTCTGAAGATGTGACAATTAACCCAAGGTGCAAAGGATGGAGAGAGCCATGACACTTCCAGCCTGAGAATAGAGAGAGCTGGGGCCTTGGAGTAACTGAGGAAGGCAGCGATGTAGAGAGCAAGAAAGGAGCGTGGTACAAGAGACAGGAAGGCTGGGAACATACAAATATGGAACAAAGTCTGGATTTTGTTTTACAGGCAAGGTACCATTAAATATTTTAAAGCAGGGGAATGACAGGATCTGATTTACATTTCTAAAAAGTCACTGTAATTGCTTCCTAAGGTAATGGATTGGAGAGACAAGAATGTCAGCGGGTAGACCCATCAGTAGATGTTACAGCAATTCAAACAAGAGAGGAAATTGACTTCGGCTTTGGGCGGGGGACAGTGGAGATATGCAGATATGTGAGATACACTTTGGAGGTAAAAGCAGTAGGATTCAGCCATGGATTGGATGTAGTGAGTAAAGGAGAGGCAGGTGTGGGGAATGACTCCTGATCTCCAGCTTGAGCCGTGAGGAGAAGGGAGGTGGAGGGTGGGGAGGAGGCAGGTTTATACTGAATAGATGGAAACGCCCATGAACTGGGGGAGTTGAGTACACAGGCCTGAAATTTAGGACAGGGGTCTGGCTTAGTTAGGGACCTTTGCTGAGCACCTTTGGAAGTGCTCAGCATTAGGAAGCATTTGTGGCTTTGGAAATGATGACCTCACCTGGAGAGACTGTGAAGAGAGAAATGAGGGCCTGGAAATCGGCCCTGAGAAACTTCCCATTTGAGATTGGATAGACAAGGAGAAAAATGAGGAGGGTGTCATGGTGTAGAAACAGGTTACAGATTTTCTCCCGTCTTGTATAATGTGAAAGTGATGCATTTGATTTCAGCATAGAATGGGAGACTCTTGGACGTTGTTGATTATACTCCCCTCTCATTACAGATGAGCCTGTTGAATACCAGAAGGGTTAGTTAACTTTTTCAGTCACTTTGGTCAGTGACACAAACCGTTTCAAAATCAGAAACGTCCTGGCGTTCAGTCTCATATTTTCATTTGGAAACTCAGGTGATGAGGCCCCCTGTTTGGGTTAAATGACTTCCCAGTGGAACGTCTTCCACTCCTCTCAACCGATGTGAGACTCCGTCGAGAAACTGGATGCAGGCGTGTGATTCCACAGTCTTCTTTTCTACAGGCTCTGATGGATGAGATTCTCATGCTCCAGGAAGAAATCAGTGAGCTGCAGTCATCCCTGGCAGAGGAGCTGGTGGCCGAGTCGCGGGAGTCTGACCCCGCGGAGCAGCTGGCTCTGCAGTCCACCCTCACTGTCTTGGCCGAGCGAATGGCCACCATCAGGATGAAAGCGTCAGGGAAACGGCAGCTTTTGGAGGTGACGAGTAGCTCTGAAGTTGCCCTGAGTCAGCTCTTAAAGTTGTGTTAACAAGTCTGCGGGTTACTTAGGTGATCTACATTTTTATTGTTTCCCACTCTGAGAAGCGGGCGTTGTGTTTCAAGAACAAAGCCCCAGTCAGTTGCAGCCATGAATGTGTCCTCTCACCCCTTTCTGACTTATTTCAGGCATGAAATATTGAGAATGTGGGAAGCAAGCACTTGCTTAGACGTGAACCTTGTGAAGAATAACGAGAAGCGGGCGTTGTGTTTCAAGAACAAAGCCCCAGTCAGTTGCAGCCATGAATGTGTCCTCTCACCCCTTTCTGACTTATTTCATGAAATATTGAGAATGTGGGAAGCAAGCACTTGCTTAGACGTGAACCTTGTGAAGAATAATGGTAGAAGGTTTTCAGAATGATTTGCTATGTTTAAATAAGAGCATTTAATGAATGATATTACTAATACTCTTAACAGATAAATCCTACTTAGTCTCTGGGAGCCAATTCAAACATATCAGTTCATGAAAATACATTTGCAATTCTGGTCGTCATGTTACTTAAATATTATTTAACATAGAGACAAATTTTGTCAGCAATAATATACGTGTTAAAAATCAGCTATTTCCCCTTTTATTTGATCTCTTATGATTCTTGGTCCTAAGCATATACAATGTTCATGTCGTTGCTCCTGTAATTTGGTTAGACTGGAGGCTCCAGAAAGACCTCTGTAGTGCCTGTCTTCTTTTATCTCCAGGCATGAGAGCTCGTCTGGCATATAATTGGTTCTCAATACCCTTCTTATGATATGGACTGAATATTACTTTATTTAGCTGTCGATTATACCATAATTCAATTTATCATGGCCCTATAGTTGGGTGTGTAGGGCTCTTTCTAGTTTTACCTATTGTAAGATTAGTCAAATCATATGCTCCTATATTTATTCTGGAGAAATCTAAAATCAGTGTGTCCACCCTACTTAGTAATCTCCATTTTTTTAAGAAAAATTCAATTTAAAAATAATAATAATGAGTTACGAATAAAATAATTTTTAAAAGAATATATCAGAGTCCCTTATCTTAAAAGTTAACTCTGAGTTCATTTGTATTGCCCCCATTCACTCTATCCAAAACTTGCGAGGTTTTAAAATGAAGTGATTCATCTGGATTTTTTGTTAATATGAATTATTTGTAATCATTGAAAAAACCCAGAGTTCTAACCTAAAAATTTGGATTTTTGCCTTCATTTGTGACACAAAAAACATTGGGACATGGCTTCCCATGGGAATCAATTGCCTGAAACTGCATTTTAGGTGGGCTGCCCTTTTAGGTGGGCTGTGCTTTCTTCAGTTTTATACAGTCCTCACCACCCCCTGCCATTTCCCAGACATTGGGGTCAAGTGTCTATTGCCATTTACCAACTGTTCTAGTCCTTGGCTGATTTCCATCATTCACATTACTGCTTGGTCCTACCAGGTATATTATTTAACAGCATCTTGTTCAACTCTAGGTACACATTAGAATTATCGGGGAAGCTCTTGAAAAATATTGATCTTGAGACACATGCACAGAAATTCTGATTTATTGCTCTGAGGCATGATCTAAGTAAGCATAGGTTGTTTTTTGTTTTTGTTTTTGTTTTAATTTCACAGGTGGTTCATATGTGTAGCCAGGGCTTGGAACCATTGCTTTATTATGTTAAATCTCAAAGAATTCACCTTATGGTGACCTATGTTAAATTCTACTTAATTCTTTAGGAGAAGTTAAATGATCAGCTGGAGGAACAGAGACAGGAACAGGCCCTGCAGAGGTATCGCTGTGAAGCCGATGAGCTGGACCACTGGCTCTTGAGTACCAAGGCCACTCTGGACGTTGCACTGGGTACATCCAAGGAGCCCATGGACATGGAGGCCCAGCTGGTGGACTGCCAGGTACAACAGTGGTCTCAAAGGAATATGCTAATATCACAAAGCACATTTTTTAAATGCAGAAAACAGACTGGTAAAAAGGCTTGGTATGGGTACATGATTTTTCACAACCCACTGACTTTTTATATTTAGAGAATAGAGAAGCAATACATTATAGAAAAGCTTAAATGAAATCCAAACTTGGAATTAGTTTTTGAAAAGATTTACCAATAGTATCTTCTCTTTAGAATATCTTCAACTTCCTAAAGGACATTGTTAAAGAGCACAGATATCAAAATACTTAAAATATCTCTCTTTAGTGGCTAACAAGGGATACAAACCCAATGAGAAGAATTAGCACCACCAAGTCAGACTGTGAATAAAAACACCCCCAGGAAGTGCCCCTAGGTGCTCTCTTGCAGTTTTGGCAGCCGGCCAGTAAGGGGATCTGAACCCTTGATCTTGGTGTTATAACACTGTGCTCTAATGAAATTTTGGCTCTAATCCTGATATATAAAAACGTTTCCAACTCTCAGTTTTAGGCAGACAGAGAGACGGACATGGGAAGGTTATCTTTGGGAGGAGAGACTTTGCTTACTCCCATGTTAGATCTCTAGAAATGAATGAGAGGTAGTTGCACTGAGGTTTTTATTCTAATACTATTTTCTTACCTCTTTATTGTGGAAATTTCCAAACATGTACATAAGCATAGAGAAAAGATAATGATTTCCTGTGTACCTATCATCGACCCTCAATGATTATCAGCATATTAGACTCCACAAATGGTGAAGTATGCCTTAACAAGCTCTTTCATTTAATTAACTAGGAAATATCTAGAAAACCTTACCTAATCTGCACGGTTAAATATCGTATGCACAACTTCGTATTTATCCCTTTGGAATCAGAGGAAATACTCAAAAATCATTAATTAATAAACACCACCTTTAAAAAAAATATTTAGTACACCATTTTGGTCATTATGGTTTGAGATTCAAGATGCTATCATCATCTGGACTTCTAAGTGCCTTAGGAAATTTATCTATGTGTATTCAAAGCATTATTGTCCTCTGCCTTGATTATTTAGTACACCATTTTGGTCATTATGGTTTGAGATTCAAGATGCTATCATCATCTGGATTTCTAAGTGCCTTAGGAAATTTATCTATGTGTATTCAAAGCATTATTGTCCTCTGCCTTGATGATAGAGAATAATTGGAGAGCCACATGTGACTGTTTTCTTTTTTTTTCAGAAAAGAGTCATATTTTTAGCATTCTCTTAGCACTTGAAATTACCACCCAAAGTAGCATGTCAAAATTATGTTTTGTTATTCCTACCATCCCTCTCTTTTGGATCTATCTATTTTTATAGTAATGTGTAAAGTCCATAATTCAGATAATATATTTTAGGACTTTCACAAAGTATTAAGGTAGTATTTGCCATACTTTAAGAAACCAGAAGTATATGAAATCACACAAGTACACATCAGTTTACTAAAACCTACTATGTAATTAATTACTACATTAAATTAATTACATTTTTATTAAAATCTAGTATTTAAGTCTGTTAAAATCTAGTCAATTAAAATGTAGTATTAAGCCAGTCATATGATAATTATAACTGTGGCTGTTACGCAGGATTGGAATCACATGATGACTTTTGTGGGCCTGGGAAGTTTGCCTTGGTACGTCTCTCTCCCCATTGAAAATACTAAAAATTATATATTTATTTTAGAGCTGCTATGGTACAAAGACTAATCTGAAGGGGACTCATTATTATATACTCCATACTACTATATTCATTTTTTTCTTCGATTTTAAAAGAAATTAAAATTAAACATTTTCTTGGGCCTTTAAAAATATTTTAGGGATCCTCACCACTGTGCCTAATTTAGAGAAATCAACTCTGCCTAGAATTATATTAATTTTTCAAAAATAATTATCAGGAAATCATCCTTTAATCCCTTTTTCGCTCTTCCATTTCATTCTAGTTTTTTGGTTTGAAGTTATATATATTCTTAAAAGTTGGGGTTGGTCATTTGGTTAGAGCGTGGTGCTAATAACACCGAGGTCCAGGGTTTGATCCCTGTACTGGCTGGTCACCAAAACAAAACAAAGCAAAAGTTGGCAGGATGTCGATAATTCTGATTTTGTACAGGAAAATACAATATCTTTTCTCATTAATAAATTATTTGATTGAATATAAATAGAAAGTACATTTCAGAAAGATCAGAATATAAAAACAGATTGCTTTTATAGAAAATAAAGTGATTTGTTGTTGGGTTTTTCCCCTAGTCTTTTTTTCTGTTTGTTTTTTTTTGTTGTAAGTCCTACCTTGGAAGAAGGGAGACTATTTTGCTATGTCTCTGGATTTGGTTTCCATTTGAAAGGAAAACCCTGTAGCACTAGAGAGTGTCACAAAAAGTTAAAGGAGAATTTTAAGGAAAACTTTTAGAAATGTGAAGTTAAAAGCATCATATTTAAAAAAAAGAAATATAAAAGAGCAGCAACCTGAAAATATATTGACCCAAAGAATCACTGTTTTGAAAGGGAGAATCCTCTTCAAATTAACAAGGAAAACATTGATCATGTGATGTCTTTACTTTTATTAGCTAGAAGTGTCATAACCTAACACAAAAATAAAATGATAATAATAATGGAATAACACTAAGGCAATGGCCTTTTCTCCTTATCTGTTGGCTATATAAAATGGGCTTTCCATTTGTTTTTTCCTTTGTGTTTTTCATTATATAATATCTAATCTTTAAAAAGAGAAAAATTAAGAAGCTCAGGCAATTAAAAAAAATTTGTATACTCTTCTTCTAGGCTGCAAAAAAACACGAAAGCCTGATTGTTTGGTGAAAGACTACAGAAGGAATGTGTTTTGCTCTGTCAAAGTCTTCGCAGAGACCAGCAGAATGTGTGAATTTCATCTTTATTTCTGTTATTACAGAACATGCTTGTGGAAATAGAGCAGAAGGTGGTGGCCTTATCGGAGCTCTCAGTCCACAATGAAAACCTGCTGCTGGAGGGCAAGGCCCAGACGAAAGACGAGGCTGAGCAGCTGGCAGTGAAGCTGAGGACACTCAAGGGGAGCCTCCTGGAGCTGCAGAGAGCCCTGCATGACAAGCAGCTCAACATCCAGGTGGGGGCTCCAGCCTCAGGCCCACAGCGGGACCTTGCATGCCTCTTCTGTGCTTAAGTGTGGACCTGCTTTACTCAAACATTTTAGCATGCTATTTGAATTTTACACTCTGACTTTGGCATAAATTTTCAAACAGGTTCTGTAAGTCTTGAGTCCATAGACCAAGGACTGCAGTGTGGGAAAAGAAAAAAACTGAAAATAATTATGCAAAAAATTTAAACATAGCTCATGGATGAAGATATGCTGACACTTTTACCTTTCTCTTTTATTTCTCCTATATTCTACTTGTTAGATATACTCAGACTGTCTTGTTTAGTGCCCACAACTTTAGAATTGTCATTTATTCCAGGTGAATTTAAACATTTTACTACCATATATTGATCTTAACGTTCCCTAATAGTGATTTTCATTTTATATTGCTAGAGCATTTTGGGGTAATATCTGCCTGACATATCTTTTAACTTTCCTTTGATTTCAACCTCCCTGTGTCCTTATGTTTTAGGTTTGTTTCTTATAAAGAGCATTTAGCTATATTTTGTTGGTCCTAACATTCATCTAATCAGAAAAATCTCTGACATTTAGAGGGCAAGTTTAGTCCATTTAAATTTTTTGTGATTATTGATATTTCTGGACTTTTATTATTTTTTTAGTTTAGTTTTTGTTTTCTTGTTTTGTCTTGCAGTTTCTATTCTTTCTCCTTCTTAACCTTCATTTTTAAGTGACTTCGTGTTTTTATTTGCTTTTTGTCCCCTCTACTTTTTATCGTGCATACCTAACAAATTCTAAGTCAACATCTTTATCTCCAGATCAATATAAGAATTTTAGAATCCTTTCACTCAGTTTCTCCCCATGCATCTTGCATACCATTCTCGTTCAGTATTTTAATTTTGTTTTTTTAAATCTCTATAAATTAGATACTACCATGAGTGTTGTCCTAGGCCAAAAGTAAGAAAATATTTACTGAGTAGCTACTCTATGCTAGCTATTATTTTATGTGATAGAGTGAGGGAGCATGGGGGAGAAGGAATAGCTAGGTCAGTAGTTTAGTTTTGGACAAGTTAAGATTGAGATGAGTCACAATTGGCATTCAGAGGAGAGACCTAGACTTCAATCATCACCCTCTAGGTGGTACTTAAAGGCATAAGATTTGAGGAACTCAACAAGGGTGCAAGGATAGGTCAAGAAGACTAACCCCCAGAACCAAGCCCTGGGGCATAGAATTTTGGAAGATGACTGGCTTATTAAAAATAAATAGAGAATTCATAACTTTCATATATAAAACACGCTAGGGAAATAATGTCTAATAATTTTTGATCTATAATATCAATAAAATATGAAATATTTAGAATATCAACAAATAGCACTTTAAAATTTAAGAACAAAACAACCTTTTTGGAAAACAGCATGGAGATTTCTCAAACAACTACAGACAGAGCTACCATATGTTCCAGCAATCCCACTACTGGGCATATAACCAAAGGAATGGAAATCATCATGTTGAAGGGATACCTGCATGCCCATGTTCATTGAGGCTCTATTTACAATAGCCAAGGTATGGAAGCAACCTAAATGTCCATCGACAGATGACTGGATAAGGAAAATGTGGTATATATACACAATGGAATACTACTCAGCCATAAAAAATAATGAAATTCTGCCATTTGTAGCAATGTGGATGAGTCTGGAGAAAATTATGTCAAGTGAAATAAGCCAGACAAGGAAAGAGAAATACCACATGTTCTCATGTATAACTGGGTGCTAAGAAAGAAAGAAAGGAAGAAAAGACATAAACAATTTCTTGAACTTTCAGAATACAGAGATGGGGGTGATGTAGGGTGGGGTTTAGGGAGGGATAGTTTGGATAAAGGGCATAAAGAAAAATCATGATTTGTAATAATAATATTCTTATAATAAATAATACTAAAAATAAATAAATAATTTTTTTAATTTAAAAAAAGAACAAAACCATGAAAAAATGAAGATTCACTTATTTTTAGTTAGGAATGTAATATTTTAAAGATGCCAATTCTTTCTCAATTAACACATCAGTTTAAGTTATTCTCAACTGAAATATTAACTGCAGATTTTTGGAAAGTGACAAAATGATACACAATGGTACCAGAATTACCTGGAAAAAGAATAATGTGAAAATAATCATAAAATTCTAAAAATGAAGAGTTATGAGGGGTTTTAGTCTTATCATATATTTAAATACAATATTGCAATTATTAAAATAGTTTGGCATTGGCACAATAAATACATGAGCAAAAAAATTAAATGGAATAAATATTCCAGAAACAGATCTCAGTCTATAAGGGAATTTGATGAATGTTTAAGGTGGCATTACAAATCAGTGAACAAAATGTGCCTCACCCTAAATAATAAATAGGCAAATCATTTGAAATATGACAAACTGAATTTTCTACCCCATTTTTTATAGAAAAATGCATCACAGATGGATCAAAGATTTAAATGTAAAAATTTCATTAAACCTGAAAAGTACTCGATGTATGAGGGGTTTTTTTTTTATTTACTATTTTTTTTCAACAGAAACTTATTCTTTCACAGTTCTTTTTTTTTTTTTTTGATGGCTGGCTGGTATGAGGATTTGAACCAGCCTGTTTTTTTGGTTTTTTGTTTTTTTAAAATTTTAGGATAGGAGGAATCTTTGCCAGCATACATTGACTTCAGTATTTTATAGTTTCTTTAAAACTACTGCAGGAAAATAAAAAAGTTCTGTATGACCAAAAAAAAAAAAAAAAAGAAAGAAAGAAAACAAACCAAAACAAATTAACCAAGTTAAAAGTTATAGACAAACAGGGAAACTATGCAATTCACAAATCTTTTGTAAATCAACAAGAAAAGATTATCTAATAGAAATACAGACAGAAGATATGAAGAGATAATTCAAAGGAAAAGGAATACAAATGGCCAATGAACATATGGAAAGATGTTTAGCCTCCCTGTTGGATAAATAAATGAAAATAGAAACAAAATTACAGCTTTTCACTTTAAATTTACATACTTTAAAATGCCTGTGTAATCTGACTTTATAATTAAAGCTAAAAGAAAAATGTTAAAAATGTTAGAATTGAACAAAACTAGAATGATTTCCTAACTGTAAAAGTACACAACAAATTACTTAGTTTTATAAAAAAAGTATCATCGGTCTAATGTGTAATGCTTTTTTTTTTTCCAGTGGTGGTCTATGAATGAACTTAATCTCTAAAGAAGCTAAAAGAAAGGAGGGAAGTCTTTAGAGTTTCATTTTTGATATAGCTATCATTTAGAAATCTCTTATCCTCCCCTGCCCCTCGAGGCAGATGAATGAACTTAATCTCTAAAGAAGCTAAAAGAAAGGAGGGAAGTCTTTAGCGTTTCATTTTTGATATAGCTATCATTTAGAAATCTCTTATCCTCCCCTGCCCCTCGAGGCAGGTAGGAAGGGCAGGGGTAGCCTGATACTCTCACCTGCACATCCAGGGACTAAACAAGGCAGATCGCACATGTTCTGGGCCTCAGGGCCTGGGAAAGGCATACGCATGAGTGAAGCAGGCCCCATCAGGCCTTTGGCAAGCTGGTCTCATGTCTAAGAAGCAGCTGTTACTCAGGGTCAGCTATTGTCATACAAGAATTTACAAACATTAATTCTAAATTTTTGAAATAATTTGAGTGTCAAATAAATCATATCCACAAGCTGGGATTGGTTCTCAGGCCATCACTTTGCAACAGTGGTTCTGAATTCTCCCCATGCTGGTCCCACCAGTTATAAATGAGGTGACATGGAGCAAGATCCTTGAACTTTCCCCTTCTTGCAGACTGGTTTCCTCATCTGTAGCATAGGTATAATAATGATAGTGTTTAACTTAAAAAATTGTCCTGAAAACTTTGTTGCAAGTAAAGCTTGTAATAAATGCACAAATTGCAGCAATTATAATCGTTAGTAACAACCACTAACTGTTTCCAAACCATATTCTTCGGGAGGAAAGGAACTCTGACATGATGAAAAGCTGGGCTGAACAGCTGATAATGCCTGTGCTCACCACACCCAGCAGGCCCTGCCCATGGCCACGGGGATTGTTTACACTGAGTGAAGTCCATATGCTGCCCAGTGTAAGCGTTTTTGAGGTGCTGCTATGTGACGTGTAAACACAGAAAGATGGGATAGTGTTTTACCGCATTAAAATGGGTCACTGTTTACTCTTAAAATATCCATAAATTCCATCATCTTTCATCTAAAGAAGTTTCCAGCATATAAAATATTGATGGGTTTTTTGGTAATAATTAGAGCTTGTTGAGATTATTTTTCTGTCTGTGGGAATAAAAGGCTCCCTGTTTACATTATGGTTGCCATGAAAAGAATCATTTTCCTTCACATAGAAAAGTAAAAATAACTCGAGGTTGATCTGGAATGTTAATTGGGGAAAAAGATATCTTCCATTAAGTGCAGATATTGGTAAGTTTGTGTCTTTTAATTGGGGCTTGCCTGACTCAGGAGGGCTGGAACACTTTCCTAAGTCTTACATGGCTGTAAGTGCACAATTTCTAACAGCTGTGTCTGTAAAATAGTAATACCTATTTCTTTCAATCTTTTGATCTAATTGGACTCACATTGGTATCAATGAATAACCAATCTCTTTTAATCCCCAAACAGACTTTCTATACATGAAGAGATACGGACTTTACAGGCATCTCTTGAATTACATGGTATCTTCCTTTGTAAGAAAATTAAGTCAGGGTTGGCTAGTTAGTTCAGTTGGTTAGAATGTGGTGCTGATAACACCAAGGTCGAGGGTTTGATTCCTGTACCAACTAAATGCCAAAAAAATAAAGCTTAGGTCATTTTCACACATTATCATCCATCAACAGCACAGAGAGTTTGCCCTATATAAATAATAAAATGCTTTATAAAGAAATATTTTACTTAATGTATAGCATTTCCCAGTCTTCACTAATCTTCCAAGGAATGTTCCTGGCAAAAGTGGTTACTATCCTAGTAT